ACTGTTTAAACCTCACAGAAGTTAAGAGAATTGAAAAAGTTTTCCGAAGGTCTCGAAGGGAGGGGCAGACAATGCTCCGACTTTTGTTATTGTCGGTCAAAGGCTCACATTGACTCGACCAGCTTATAAGTATTTGAGCATACTTTAGTGAGTTTCACACTATTTCCGGTTATCAATTTTTAAAGAAGTCCCCCTTTGCGTTCCACAGGGGGTCAAGGTGGGAAGGGTCACTTTGGCTTCTAGCCTCCAATTATCAAATGGACTGTTGCTGTTCTGGCAACGTGATGCGCCCACCGCTACTGGCGTGACTGCCTCCTGTTTAGTCGATTTCGCGACGGATAACGGCGGAGGTCTAATGGACCGTCACTAGAATTAATCTTTCTAACCCCCCCTCTTCCTGTTGTAAGCCCTGTACGTGACACTGTCCTGACGAGAGTCCCATATGGGCACAATAAGCGGCATAATTGGCGGCAAGCGTGTTCATACGTTTCATTGCACCACCACCTTCCCCATCCTCGCGAGCCCAGGACCGCTCGAGCAGGCGGTGGGGCGGGGGGGAGGAGGAGAAGGAAAGCGGCGTCGAATACCATCATTTTCATTGACGCCGTCACATTTCCTACGGTGCAGGCCTGCTGACCTTTCCAGTAATTGCGGTGGCTGCCAGTCCAGTTAATTCCACGAGTCATCTGCGTCTGAGGGGGTAAATATCAACAAACTTCAACCGGTTTGTCGTGTGCACGTGTACAAATATGTAGTCCCCACACAGACACTCGCTAGGGTGCGCATGCGTCATTTGTTTACACGTGACTGTCACAGGGGCTGACGTCGGGGCGTGGCACTTGCCATGTGTCCTGGGTCACGAGCGAGTACGCATTGTGCGACCCCATCCCCCAAAACCAACCTGAGGATTAGACCTAGTACGAGTAACTCCTCACCACCTCCGCCTCCTCAGCGTTCAAGCTGTGCCACCAGGAGGGAATATCGCCTATTTCAGTGCATAATCTGAGGAATTTTCGCACTTGCAGTGGGGATAGAGAATGCTGAATCATTACTTAGACACCGGTTGAGCTGGGAGACAACCGCCGCATACGGTTGTCGGGGTGTGTGTGTGTGTACTGTCGCCTAATTTCACAACCACACAAACGGCCCACCTGTTTACTACGTGGCATTTTGTCATCCTCTTCATTGGAGTTTTTGAATGAATTCTGGTTACTGAGTCAGGACATAGTCTGAACAGGGAGGTGATATGTGAAGCTGATTTACGTTTGGCAGTTTGTCGATGAATATGAGGTGGGTCCTGAACTGCCATGTCAGTGTACAGCAAAGCCGGATGAACCGGGAAGACCAACCCTGAGGGTAAAAGAGGACTTCAATCATTATGCAAAATTATCTGTTGGTTTTCATTGTTGTGATGAATAAAATGGTCTTGCATCTAACCAATGCAATAGACTGAAGCAAGGTCTTTTGGGGATAACTTTACAAACAGGACTGACATATGTTCCCCTAAACAGGACATGTGAGCAGGAACCGCTTGCAATACGGGTGGCTTTCAGCCAACTTCCAGTGAAATTGGGGTTAGGTTTAAGCTCAGAACAAGGTTAAAGATTAGGTTTAAGGATAGATTTAAAGTTAACGGTAACGTAAGTCAGGATCAAGTTTAGGGTCAAGGTAGCGTTTAATGCTAACTGGAGAGTTAAGGTTCAGGATTGGGTTAGGGTCAAGATCAGAGTAACGGTTCAGTTTTATATTAGGGCTGTTGTTGGGGTTAGGCGGCGAAAATATTTGGCCATTTCCGGATTTATGCGCAGGTCCCCCTTTATTATTTGGGCGGGGCGCACCCATTCCCATATCCAATTTACAAATCTTTCGGCATTTGTAAAATGTCCCGAATAATGAATTTTCGACTAATCCCAAATTAAACTCATGTTTAGGGGGTAGGATAACTCGTTTGTATCCAAAGGCTCCCACAAATAGAATCGTTTTATCCTGACTGCAAGAAGGGTGGACTAATTCACTGTTTTGTAAAAAATTCGAAGAAAAGTCGATGCCCGTTTTTTATGATTCACAGCAGCTTTTGATATCATGACACATTAATGTTCAGGAAGTTGATGGAACAGAATAACAGATACTGGAGGAGATGTTTAACGTAGGGTGCTGGGCCGTCCCCGACAGACCATACTGACTTCCAAAGACTACGACAGTCCCCTGTGGATTAAAGTGTTTGTTATTTTAGTTCTGCGCCAGAGGTAGATTAGTGAACTGGAAGGAAAGGCAACATAATTAACAATTAATCTTTCCTTCTATTCTCCGAAGTAAAAATCGGAAAGTTTGATAAAGTGTCTCGCATGGATGAAAATGCCTTATAGCATAGTGACGGTGGGAAAATCATCTCAGTATATGTATCTTTCTGCTCGTTGTGCATGCAGGGACTTATCATATCTTCTTCTAGATAAATAAACTCTATGTATGGAACAAGCTACCTGAACTGTGAGGGCCAATCAGTTGACAGTTCGGCCGTCGAAAGCGACGCCGTCAACCGCGTGCCTAGCTGATTGGGCGTAGCATCGGTGACTTGCGCAGAATCTAACGCGATTTTTCTTTCCCCACCCACTTTGCCCCGGCGGGGAGGTATCTGTAGTCAAAGTGGCTGCCAACCCGTCTACGCCTGCCACACACAACCAGGTCCTTACAACACGCATCAGGCTTTCAGGAAGGCGGCTCGAAGCTCACAGGCATGAGAGTGCCCTAAAGGATCATATTGAGAAGGACCCATTGCAGCCTGACTCTCTTTCGTACATTCACTCTAAAATGCTCCCAAAGGGACCGAATTATCCTGTCACTTGGCAGCCATCCGAGCCTCAAATCTTAGCGCGCCGTGAGGGATTCAGTTACATCCGATTTGCTCAAGTCAGTTTAAGCCAGTTTATCAAGGGAATGAGGCTTTCGCCCTTGAGCTCCCTATTCATATCGATAAACAGCGGAAATTCAAAGGTTAACGGTAAGTGTGAGCCAGGCGCAAACTGCCGTCGCTAAAACAATCGTGGTTATCTGTACAGTAGTTTCTCAGCAAATGAGCATCTAGTCTACACTTAAAGGACTCGACAGTTTCGGAAAGAACCACCGCATCAGGGAGTCCGTTCCATGCCCCAATGACCCTGTGCGAGAAGGCGTTCCGTCGGACGTCCGAATGAGCCAGCTTCCTCTGCAGTTTGAACGGATGACCACGCAGACGGTCAGTCCCGGCCAATTCGAAGAATTCATCAAAGTCTAGAGCATACTCTTGGCCTCTGACAATCCTGTAGGTTTGAATGAGATCGTCACGCACTTGCCTGTAATTGAGAGGAATGTGCTGCTGTGACGTGAAGAAGAATTTCCCAGTGTCAAACTCATTTTTTCTTTCTCTCTTCCATACTCCAGTCGACTGTCCGATCCCGTCAGACAGCTGGCAATGAAACTGGTCGCAGAGTGTGCGACACACGACCTGGTCACCACAACGTATACCAGGTCACGTCAAAAGGCGGACTCTTATGTAAGAGAGGTGTGTATGTATGTCGTGGGACTTTTGCTCGCAAAATGAGGGATGATAATGTGGATCGGATGTGCGGCAGAGGAAAGACATGGTGTATTGGAGGTGGAATTTATGCACATATTGTGGAGTGGGTTCAAAATAGTCTTGAGATGTATGTGTGGGTGGGTAGGTAAGTAGGTAGGGCGGAGTGCATTGGTGGAGTCCGAACTGCGGTTTTTGCCGATGACTTTCATGCATTCGTGTATGGGCGGAAAGAGCAGTGCGGAGTCCGAATGTCCTGGTACGGTGAGACGGGAAAGACGAGTATGGGTTGGGTGTCTAGGCGCTGGGTTTCCACGTGACCGATAAGGGCGTTGCCTGATCCAATTGTCTACTTGCAGTATGGACAGGATGGTATTGCGGATAGTGATCTGATGATGGGGGCGACGCTGTTAGTGGTGGGTGACGCTGGTGGTGGAGTTGTTAGTGCTGATGATAGAGGAGTTTTAGGGTGTAGGATATGGGATTGTTGTGATGAATTCCGCTGTTGTGTATGCGCATAGGACCGAAAAGAATCACGCTGTGCCCGGATGTCAGGAGGCAGTGTAGACAGGTGCGGCGCCCTTGACGGGGTCCCAGACACTGGTTCGTCGGTCACAGGGCGATGGATTCCAAAGTGACCAATCAGGCCGAAGCGTGATGAGGAATTGCGGCAGCAGTGGGGACAGGTTGGAAATGAGCCCACACCCTTAATTGTATGCGCAATAAGGCTGATGTTTCACATGAGGTTATTTCAGTGGGGATGCTAATAGTGGCCGTAATTGTGACGTTTTATGAGATGAGAGGCCACTTGGGCGTCTTGACACTGCGCGGATGTCTAACGAGGCTGATTTTTGTCCGGGATGCCAGCTGACAGCGTGGCCACTATGGCGTGCGTTGGGTTATTACGGCCTTGGTTCGCAACACCTCAGTCCTTCGGGTATCGTTCCTGCCTTGACAGTGATTATTCGGTTGACTTCGAAGATAGCTGCTTCAGTCTTTGCGACAGTGCTCAACGCCTGTTGACTTTCAGCAAGGTCCCCCCAGATCTTAGGGTTTATTTGCGAACGCAAACGGAGGGCCTTTGAAGTGTCCTTGTAGAGACGCTTTGGTCTGTATTTTCTACGACTACCGCAACTGCGTCCCCTGAAAATACTTATGCTGAGATGGCAAGATAGGATCTCCAACACGGGCCTTGTAAAACGGATCGAATTCCTCCGCATCCACGCCATGCTGAGGAAACTGCAATTACGTTGGAACGGCCATCTCGTGCGGATAGGGGATACATGCCTACCTCAACAACTCTTCCATGATGATGTCGTTACCGGTGCTCACTGACCAGGAGAACTAAAACGACACTACACGGATATGTTAAATAATTTTCTTCAGCGATTGCACATCAATCTAGATACCAACTACCTCGCCCAGAACAAACCGGACCTGAAGAAGAGAAATGAAGACTGACGTAGCCATTTATGGAGAAAACCGGATCGCCGCCGCCACGGCCAAAAGGACTGCTCGAAAGTCCCAGGAGCCTCCAACTCGTAACATCACCACTCAACCCTACCCAACATGCCCGCGCTGTCAAAGAACATTTCGCGCGCGGATTGGCCTCGTCGGTCATCTTCAGACCCAATGCATTAACCGCCTAACGACCGCACCTGATTCAACCTCGACGTCGACCACATCGACGCCCACCCCCACCAGTGTTACTTCGAATCCCAATGCCACACTGCCGTCGCCCACTATCACTTCTACTACCTTTGCCTTAAATACCGCAATGACTCCGAACACAATTATCTCTACCACCACCGCCAACGACAAAAACGCTCCTGGCGACCCGACAGTCACTTACACATTCACCATCACCACCGCCACCTCCAGCGATTTGGACTCGGCTCCTAGCTGTCCTCATTGCGACCGCACACTCACTTCACACATCGACCTGGTTAGTCACTGGCGAATCCATCGCAAAGAGACTGGTGAACCAGAGCCTGGAGCACCAGCATATACCAGACGCCTCGCCCAACTACCCTCATTGACTTCTCACATTCGGCCGCCGCACGGATGATCGCCCGAACCAAATGCAGGGCTACGTTTCACTCATCTGGGCCGTAAGGATTGTGTGCGTCTCCAACGTCATGATTCAGCAAGCCATAGTTCTCACATCCTGGTGTGCGGTGGTGGTTCTTTGGCACCTGGTTTCCCGCCGGTAGAAGCGCTTTAGCTCACGCTGGGTATTCAGGACGTGGGCATAGTTGCCCAATGAATTATGACAACCTTCTCTTTCTGACACACTTTCCTTAATAATTATAATTCTGGTCAAGCGTTTGCTGTGGACCAGGGAGTGTGGTGGTACGTCTATGTGTAGGCCCGGCCGTGCCAGTCACCTGCGCCCTCTCCCACCCTCGATCTTCTTGAATATGTCTCAAGGACTGTAGGCGTCTGCTATGCGGGGATTAGCAAATCACCGTCCTCGCAACCTGACGAGCGCTGGCAGTTTGGTGACACCTGGTTCCCTGCCGGTAGCCGCGCTTGCGCTTCCGCTGGTCATGAACATGGCTGCCCAGTCGTGCTTTTTTTCTGACCCGTTGTGGTGCTGTTGTTGTCTGGTCAATATCCTGGTATGGCTGTACGCCTGGGTGCGGGGCCGGCCGTCCCAGTCACCGGCGCCCTCCCTCAACTCTGGTCTTTTTAACTATGCCTCGACACGGGTCCAGGTGGGGTGGAGGAGAGTGCGGCAGATGTTATGGAAGTCTACACCCACTACAAAGTAATTAACGTGCAAGTCACCGTCGCTGCTGCACCTTCCTGTGGAGCACACGGTGGACAACGTCGGACACTACGGTCGGACTATCAGTCCCAAATATAGTCATTATATTTCGAAGACACTTCCGTTGTTATCCTCTGAGGAAATGCCGGTTACTTAACAGTCTAAGACATCGTTATCGTCCCTGAAACATGCTTCACTATGGAGCATGAATCTCCCTCCTGTCTCCATTCCGAAAGTGACATTTCATAAAATTTCAAGGCTGGTTGCGAATATGGGGAGGATCTCAATGACATAAACAAGTATGACTTGGTGGCAGTCTTAAGATCCATGATTTCTATGATAAAATTCAGTGTTTTTGATGTACCGATGGCAAACTTACATCGATTTGGCTCCGATACCTTGGTCGTCCTGTATAGAGAATAACGGAGGACTTTTATCACCGGATAACTTGCGTTCTCAACAGGACAATTTTTTTCAGTGACTAGGATTCATGACATGACGTCTCTTATGTAAGCGAGGATTAAAAAGTCACTTGATTTTAAACCAAGAAGCATGTAAGTAAAAAACCAAAGGATAACTTTATCCCATTATATACAGACGAGCTATTGCCCAATGTACGCTAGACAAAATGAGCCATTTGAGAACAGGAGATCCCACCTCTAGGGCTTAAATTCTGAGCATCAAATAACAAGCAAGGTCTAGATCAGAAGTCGGGGACTTAAAATTCCGACGTTACCTAATATCAAGGGTCCACTTTCAAGGTGGTCTGGTTAAAAGGTAAACTTGTGGAAAGTCCTCACCCTTACCGAAGAGTTCCTGTGATGCAACGGTCAGTGGTGTTCAAATAACATTTGGTCGCATTATATTTAACAAAGGAACTCAGGAATACTTAGTCCGACTAGGTTAACTTACTGTGGCATCCTAAACTCGAAAGAAACCACTCCATAATCCGGAACCTAATCTTATCTCTGCCTACTAACTCTATTTGCTAACCATCAACCTATCCCTACGCCATTCTTAGTGTCATTTGCCCCATAATTTTAACCAGCAACTGTAGTTCATGGCCATAAATGTGGCCGTATTCCCACTTCCTAACGCGGCATACTAGATTCCCAAGAGGCAAGACCAAATTAACCTTCCATAACTTCTCAACCCTGTTAATGTCTTATGTTTTTTCGCAATGGAAAGGACTACGTAGCGTAAATGTGGCTCACTTTGCACGACTCGAGCAAATTTCACCAGAGAGGGATGAAACCAAGGCAGAGAAAGACTCTATCGGAAAAGTGCTAAAAATACTGCTTAACAAAAGAGTGACTGATGCTAAAACTGTGCTTTTATATGCGTGCGATGATGGCGTACTCGAAGTCTTGGGAGATTTATTCTTTTAGCCGCATCTCCGGGAACGCCGAAATAAGCCTGCCCATGAGGTGGGGCCCACTGTGCTTGTTACTTTTGACTGCGATTGCGTGGACAGCCGGTGCTTTGCAGCTGGGCAGCTGTTTCACTGCTTTAATCTACTGAAGAGAAGATCGACTTCGACTGTTGTGTTCACTTTAGAAAGTCGGTTGTTGGCCTTCTTGCAGATTGTGCAGTGGCGGTGGAGGACACTTCCGAAGGACTCGGCCCAGCGCTCGAAGGTCTCCGACTTCTCAGAAGTAGGGTTGGTCAACTTTGACTGAATGTTAGTGCGATTGCCTTGGATTGGTAACCACGTACCGCAGAACAAGTCGTTTTCCAATCAGGAGATGTCGGCGAGCTTCCTCGTAATGTGACACATAGGTTGTGGTAAAAGATTTTTTAACCTACTGACTTTCCGCGACTTCGTTTCCTCTTTTAGGCAGTTCCTACTTCTATTCGTGATAGTCATTTGCGCTCCATTCAGTTGCCCTGTCCGCATGGGTGGCAGTCTCCGAGGCCTAATTGCATCAACGTCGTCACTGGCAGCCAGCATTCCACGAGGGCAGCGTGTAAGCAATTAGTCGACCACTGTTGCGCAACTCTGCACACACACGCGCAGCCACGTAATTGACACAGTCAACGTCCTGACCGCTACCTCCAATTAATAGCACGCACACAGGGACACAGGGCAAATCCCCACTTCGCTCCCGTCGCCAACGTCGTCGCCGTGGGCAACCCGTGGCCACCGTCGTGGTTAATCACCGACATCATGCAGAGGATGAAATAGGTACGTAGCGAAGAGGGTCCACTGTGTATGTGCGCGCGTTCGTGTCCTCTTTGGTTCGCCGCTCAGGGCCTTTGTGGTAGGTTGAGTGGTGGTGGCTGTGGTCTCACGACTCCGGCTGGCTAATTACGTCTGGACCGTTAAGTGCGCGCGAGCAGAATGCGTGTCCAGGTTTGGGTGGTGGGGCTGCTACGCGGGGGGTCAGCGGTGCGCACGCGCCTGCCGTCAGCAAGTACTGATCTGATGAGCGCTCCGTAGGGGGGCGGTGGGGGGGGAAGGGGTCAACCTTGACGAATGTCAAGACGGACGCGCAACCGGACAGACCAACTGCAAGTTATAAAGTCCCTGTGGGATTAAATAGACTTTAATTGAGTTTTGTCCTAGTTGGGCTAAAGAGGACAACCACATCCATTCGTCGGGGCATTAGATTCTATTAAAATTCACAAAGGACAGGCTCATGGAGTGAGCCTGAAAGGCAGAGATGAACGGGTCTGCGTCGTCAGTTGAATGCCCAATTTGGATCTCCTCATGGGAATGCGGTCTAGGCAGGGTGGATGTAATTTGTCTTGAGCATCGAAGAGTTACAGTTTAATCCGAATAACTGACCTTACAACACAAAGGCAATTAGGAGCAAGTCCCTTTTTAATTTATTCCCTATGTACAGTTCAAAGCAATTATTCAGACTACCGAAGTTAGTCTGTATGGTATGGTTGGTCTAACCAGAATAAAAGTAAATATGAGATGTACAGTGTTATTCCCAAAAATCATCAGGTTATGTCATTAACCTCTCGGCTAGCATGAGTAACCGTTGTCCCTGGTTGACTATAAAACTCAAGAAAATTATCCTATTGCTTAAATGCCTTTACTGTTATTATAAACTGTTCGTGGACATTTTGAACCGGCGTGATCAGCACTTACAATATGCCTAGAAAAGTTCCTGTCCGTTGATATCCGTAGAGACTACCCTAAGGCACTTTGTGTCTTGAGAAGGAGTGGGCATAGCATGATCTGAGACTAAATAGTTATGATGAACAGTGGATAGTTAAAATAACCACTGCTTTTGCCCAAGTATATAGTTTTAAACTGCCTCCGAATAGGAGTTTGCGTAGATTATCACCTCCAATGAAAGTGCAATATTCGTCCTGTTTATACTCAAGCAAAAGCATTGTCTGGATATGGCTACTCCTTAATGCAAACGTTAGCTCAGTGCCAAAGAGGGATTAGATACCCGTTATGAGCTTTCTTAGCGGTAACGAACAAGAAACTCATCCGCCGTCGTTTCGGTCTGGCCTTGATTCAAAGCATGAATAAAGCGATAAATATTATTAATATGGAGACTATGAAGGTCGCCCTCAGAAGGGTCCAGTTCACTGCTGGTTCTTCTTGGCTGCAACCAGCCCTTATTGAGAGGAACTGATGAACTTTCGCGGATGGAGATTGCCCTGAAAAACGACCTAAGGAAGGTTGTAAAGTGATTTTGTCAAAATTTAATATGTGGAGTTAGAATCAAGTCCTGCGAACTAGTCTGTTCAGTCACAAAGTTGGTAATTGGTCGTACACTTGTGTGGGCTTTAAATAATGTCTGTGCTTGAAGTCTGTTTAAATTACTTATTGATCGTAAATAAACTGCTTCTAAGATAAGTTTTATTTTATTTTATTTTTATATAGCACGCGCGAAAGTTAACGGTTGGTTATATGTAGTTTAGTGGACTGCTGTGCTACATAATTTCTTCGAAGCTGAGCCCCTGATGCGCTCGACCTAGTCCTGGGCTAGTAACTAAATCTAAACTTATGTGGATTCGCACAGTTAAGCATACGTCTCAAAGGGCTTCCTTTGAAATTGAGAGTAATTGTCTTGAGTCATTCTGCTTTGAAAATCTGGCTCGGAACAGATTAAATAGTTCGTTTTTAGTCCAACATGGTATTTACTTATGAAGTTTGGTCGCCCTTATGTGAACCCAGGTTCACTTACCTCCTCGCATGTGTCCCCTTTCCCAACGGGTCTTCTAGAATAACTTTACGTATTCCTTTTCTGATTATTTCTCAAGGCAGACTGTGATACTCAGATATCTGAAGATTGTTTTCTCTGAGGCGGAGTTGAACTGTCGAACTCCCC